AATCAAAAATATTCGAGTATTGGATAGTCGTGATGCAATCGGGAACAGTTTCTTCGCGAAAGTTGAATATCAGTGGTGGAATGTGAAGGATTTTGCAAATTTGAAATGTCAAAATGCTAGCAGCAATGGATGTGACGGCTATGGAAATAACTGGTAATTTGTGGCATATATTTTTAAATACACTGACATCGAGCTGTGTTTTAAATGTTTGACCAATTTTAGAAAATTTTTAATGCTTTAAAATTGAATTTTTCAAAAAAATTTTTGCCATTTTTGATGTAAGAGATAGCATTTTGCTTATTTTTGTGTTAATACATGAAATGGAATCAAACATTAACGAAATGATCATAACAATTTTTGCAATCAAAAAAAATCAATAATTCGATAGCGCACTTGTCGCACATATTCGAGATCTTTTCGGTTAGTAGTTTCAAGTGTTTCAAGCGTGAAAAAAGATTGTTTAAGAATGATCCCAGATCACCAATCGAACATCAGTCTCTGTCCGACAGATGATCTGTGATCATTTTGATGTAATTTTTTATTTAAAGTATCTTCGAGAATTTGCAAAGTCGTTTCTTACTAATTAAATTAAATGGGGAATTTCTATTTATGTGCACACTTCATACTATCACGACATCTGATAATAGGACTCAATAAAAGATCAATTTATCTATAGCACCGAATTCACCAATTAATTCAAAATGCTTCGATATTTGAAAGCACTTTGCGTAATACGTCTAATTTAAAACTTTTTCCTGAATGGTACCTGTCCGCTTAGTATTATCAATGAAGTTTGTCGAATAAAACTCAAAATGCTTGAATGTAAAGAGAATATACATATTGAAATAATACATTCATTTATAAATAACAATCAGAAAGCTGATATCATCAACAATCTATCGTTTATCATGCCAGTAGAATAAAAAGAAGTGTGCATACAAAATAAATATAATATTTATTTGTCAGTTATTACTGCGACATTTGCGAAAGTTTGCATCATTTACAAGAAGAAAATAGGAAGACAGCGTTGATGGATCAGTTAAAAGGAATTAGCTGTCCAAAGCATCCCGGATTCTATACCTTCAGGTAAACAAATCTATATGCAAATTCACCTACTTAGATGGCAGCTACTCAATTAATAACTATTCATTCTTAGATTCATTATGATCTCGGTATTTTGCACTTCTTTAAGTCAATTTTCAGTCAGTTAAATGATACATTCTATTTGTATACAACTTCTCTAGAATTCAAATTAGAAATTTTGATTGAATTAAAACGATTGAATTTAGCATATCTTATATTAAAAAAATTTAAGCTAGTCCTTATTCAGAATTGATGTGACAAAATTGAACGATTTAATTTAAAAATGATTAAGTACCTATTCATAATCTAGGAAAGAATTTTGCTTCAATGATTGGTCTGCTTTTGATAGTAACGGTGACTGTCAAATTGATTTCTTCCAAGGTGACAAATTTTCCGACTATCGATCAGCACTTTCTTCCTTACAGCAAATTGGATATGTGAGTTTTCTATTACTCGTTCAATTTTCTATTTTCAATTCATAAATTTTTCTTAAATTTTTGATCTATATTCAGTTTATTAAAAGGAAAAATTTCTTTTTTGATGTCTAAATCAATGGTAGCTAATAGCTGATTAGAGTTGTTGTGAACAACATCACAATTTTCTTTATAAGACTATAATCAATGCAAAAAGCTACATGTCAGAGATCACCAAACTCATTTCATCCTATCCGATCTGTATCAAAAAATATCCCACTGATCATTTTTAACAAACAAGTGATTAATTGCGACATTGTTCGTTTCACACTTACAGTTCAGAAGTAACTTACTTTATTGATGTCACTTCAATTTAAATGCAAAAATCGTTAATTTAAACTAAGAAGAAACTTTCTTGCTAAGTCTTCTTCAGTGTACCAATTTTTCTTTTCTGTGCAGGGCACCGTGGTTGCAAAACTACGTTTGGCAGCAAATGCAACAAGTGAAATTGCTGAGAGAAAGCGAATCAAAGAGGCGTTAATTGAAGAAGCCATACGAAAGGAGTTAGAAGAAAGAAGGAGAACTTGGAATATTGGTAACGAACAGTTCGAAAAATTTCGACTGTGGTACACCAATTATCGCAAAGATACATGGCATAGGTAAGAAATGTATGATATTAACAATCGAAAGATCATAGTATAAAAATTCGAGAAATGAAATAGTAAACGTATTGCTTACAGAAAAATCAAATGTTCTATACTGGAACGGTACTGGAACATTGTTACTTATGATTCTATTCCTATATTTAATGACATTAACTATTCGAATAGGATGGATTTTTGATTTCTTTCCGACAATTCCGAAACCTTCCACCACCTAATTATGCATATCAATGCTATTAATACATTATTTTCAAATATTTCGAAATACATTCTCATGAGAATCATATTTACAAGCCAATTCCACTTTAATAATTTCAAAAATCAAATTTTACAGATTTTCATCCTTCCATCAAAACTCCTTGAATTCCTTCCGGTCACACTCATTTTTGGAAATTATCGTTAATTGCACGATCTACATTAATTGCTCACATCATAAAATGCCTTGTAAAATGCTCCTAACTTCCATTCCTAAATTCAATTCCATTATATTTCAGAGAAGAATATTTACCATGGCTATTGTATGAAAACGAAATTTCATGCATACGGCTCACTTTCGACGTCTGTGAACGAATCCCGAAACGAAGCCCATTCACTGGTCAATTAACATGCTTTTAGAGCTACCGCTACTAGAATGCTTAACAGTGTAAAGTGATCTCCAACTGAAGATGGACAATTCCACATAACTACCAAGAAGATTAAATCAGAGGAAATTTAATCCCTTTATAACATCACTATTGTAATTTATAGCATCATCAATTTATACGAAATTTTCATATATACAGAATCAATAGAAGAAATTTCATATCCATTCGTAAATCATCATTGCAAAAAGATTTTCATAACGATTAACCTTGAATCTGTCTATGATATTCCCAATAAAAAAGAAAGAAAAAAAATCAAATACTTCCTCTTGTCATAATTTTGAAATTCTAGCCCAATTTATATCGGTTTCTTTTACAATTTAATCAACAAAACCAGGTCTTTTATAGCTCACAAAAAACAATTACTTTTTTTTTTATAGGAATACGATGATGAAAATGTTATGTACATTAGAGACTATTGATTGCAAAATTTTGTAAGAAGGACTAAGCATATATAAGAAAAGCATTTAAAGCAAACGAATGTTATGATCTACTTTTTTTTGGAAAAACATTTTCTATACATGTTCAAAAAAAAAAATCCAGAAATACGACCTATTCCATCAGTTTTCCATGTTATTGTTAGCTATTATTACTGCCACCATTAATAATTCTGACTTTTCATAAAGCAATCTTTGCTGGAGAATAAAAATGATTATAAAACACTGCATAAATTCGTTATCCGGTTAGATTCTTCGCGATCGTACATTTGCTATTTCGCGAGCTTTTTTTTGCCTTTCCAGTACGAGCTCACGTCGTCGCTGCTCTCGATCATTTTCTCGATGTAATCTATCCAATGCTTCACGATGTCGATGAATTGCACGTGTCAAATCTTCATTCGTGATTTGGCGTCGTCGTGATCTACGCGGTATCTCGATAGGCTAAATTAAATTTTAATAGTTCTAAGGCTATAAAATATAGGATTCTCAAATTGTCTTGAAAAAACTTTCACAGTAATTGCTTCAATGAGTGATTTTAGCTAACCATATGTTTTAACTATTTCTACGGTTGGCATCGGATCAGGAAATATATTATACCAACACTTTCGGCAACGAAGTCGTTTGGTTAATTTTTCGACTATTCATTAATGAAAAAATATGATTCTCACCAATGCATTATCGATATGATCAGCAGAAAATACATCACTGGGAGCTAAATGATTTCGTTGAACGATAGCGTCCATTAAGCGCTTTTTAAGTTCTGTCATTTCCTTCTGCTTTGCCATTTTAACTCGTTCCCGTATTTTTGCCGCATTTTCAGCGCTTAACTGTCGCACTTGTTGATACCTGCAAATATTCAGCTGATTATTTTGAGCTGAAATGTTTCAAATTAAACAGTTACATATCTGCATATTATAGATTCTGATGATTTTGCTCATTACCAAGAACAGAGTAATAAGCTGCTATGGTACTCCGTCTATTTTTTAGTTTATTTGACTTAGGAGTTTTTCGAATACATTACACAAGTTCCAGAACAGGGCAAGTACCTATGGAAAAGATAAGTAGTCAAAAGATAGAACTTTTAAAAGTAATAAAAACACCTTGATAAAAAATATGATGATGTAGTCGACTGGTCTTTTTGTGAAACAATCATTCGACATAAAAATATTACTGATAAAGCAAGGAACAATATATAGATCTCACACAACATGAAGTAGATTGAAATCCAAAAAATTAGAAAAAAAACGAAATTTGGAAAAAAGGTTAAAAATCCAAAAAAAAATTGAAAAAAAGAACGGAAAAAATTTGCAAAAAAAGGAATTTGAATCCTATTAACATTTTGAATTAGTAAAAAAATGTACTTTAATATACGCCCATCAATTTTCTTTATCTTTCACTCTACCATACATTGCTTCTATGAGAAATGGTAGAAGAAGGAAAAAATAATGCGGTAAAAGTTAAAAAGAAAAATCCAGTTCCTTCAACATCATCATTGAAAACATTAATCTAAGAATTCAGATCCTAATATTAAATCAATTCATGTCAAAAATTCTAATCATAACAGTTGGAGTGCAGCATTTTACATACCTTATCAGCCGACGTCTTTCACGTTCCTTCCGTATAATACTTTCTCGTTGATTCGGTGTTAGTATTGATAGCTGTGAACTTCCAGTTGCAGTATGATAGCGTCCCATTCCGGAAGCCCGAAAAATTGCTATGAGATTGATTTAGAACATATAAATCGATGAAGTGAAAATTGCAAACATCACATTGTCAATAAAACGCGCCGTTGTTGAAATTTCAAATTTGTATCATAAATTACGGCCGATGATAATAATGTTGATCGATGCGAAATTTCGATATCTCGTTTTATCGAGTTTTGCTTTGCTGCACGTTGTTTCTATCGTTTATTTAGCTCTTGTTGGATTTTGTTTTTTTTTTTTTCTGGAATTCAAATTCCCATTTATATTTTATAATTATATTGCATAAAATTCAATTTATCATCCGAAAATCTTCCTTTTCAACATAAATTGGTAGCCAACTATAACTGTCACGTAGAATTGTATGTATTATCCAAGTTTTAAATGATCATGAGGCATTTCTGCTTGTAGTTTCGACGCGTTCCTCAATTTAAGCTACATTTTTCATTTTATATGAGCTTTTTGCAATCATGCTTTGACAGTGTTCAGCGGAAGATACCAGAATATGATCCAAAATACTAGAATATCTGCGGAACTTCATTTTATTTGATGATTTTCAAAAAGAAACGTATTTCCTGATGAGTGTATTATCTAAAAAAAATTGCTATGTTATTGGTAAAGCTAATCGGAGGTACAACGCTTTCTCGTTTTACTTTATTCATTTACTGTGATTTTATGATTTCAGTATCTGAATGAAGTCATTAGAAATTTACTTGAAACGATTGATATACTCAAGCTGTCGACTTGGGAATTTATTTTCTTCTACCTCCACTTTTATTTTATCTTTTGTGTTGATTATGTTCAGTCGCATTGATATTGTTGTCAGTTTATGTCATCAGTCGATTATACGATATGAACGATAAAACGAGCATACTGTAATTTTATTGAAAATTTTTTTCAGAGTTGTTGTTTGGATTGAATGCATGGTTGTGGAGGTGATAACGAGCAAGTAGTCGACTATAGTGATATGATTGTTGCTGATTTGATAGAGCCTATTGCAGGCGATTCGGAAGTATGACCTTTTTATGTTTTGTTTTACTCATTTATTGTTATTTTACGCCTTCATTATTTAAATAATTGAAACTGATAGTTAAAAATGTAACTGAAATGAATGAGATGCTCAAGCTGTGGGCTTAAGGAATTTATTTGCAATTAATATTCTTTAACTCATATATGAAAAATATGTATTTAATTCATTATATAAAACTTAAAGCTCTATATATTAAACTTGAAGTAGAACAGTTTTGCTGATTGTTTGTCAGTTCATGTGGACCGGAAGTATGTCTTTTATAGGAAAAAAAAATTTTTTTGTACTATTTCATATTATTCAGAGCATTTGAAAATTTAATTTACATTTTTATCCTTAACACTTGTATTCTTTCCGATAAAATACAGCGACAAACTGTTTATGTAATTATCAACAAATAATCATTTATGTAAAAAAATGAAAAAAAAGATCATTATTTTTGGAATCTGAGTTATTAGTTATTTTGAGAAAGATGACTTAACTTAAACTGCTGAATATCACATATTATTAAGTGGTTATATAGACTGACTAGACTTCGTATATGATTAAAGATTGCATAAACTCATCAGGCTTCATATATCATTAATTGATTGTATAGACTTGCCATAATCACTTTTTTATAGACCGTGACTAGCAGAGCGTTCAGATAAAACAGTCCATTAGTGTAAAATTGACTTGTGCTTATAGAAATGAAGATTAAGAATTTAATTTGAAAATTTTTTTCCTGGATTATTGGAATCAAATGATCACATTAGATTACGCTATATTTGATTTCTATCCAATAAAAAAGTGTAAATTAAATATCTATTCTCCTGTAATTTTAGATAAATTCCCTTTTTGTTATGTAATTGTTGAGAAATGAATGAGTTACCATTTCTTGTAGGAACATAAGGTTCGATATCGGAGCTTGTCGAAATGTGGTGGCGAAAAACTTTTGATTCTGGATGATTCAATTACAATCCAGGAATATCCATCTGGCGTAATTCGACGTAGACTTACGGCAGATTTCACTTTGCTAGATGTTAGTTATCTTTGTCAATTAATTTTTTTCGAAACTTTACTTTCATGTGTTTAAATTTTAGATTTTCTGCTACAGGTTCTTTGCTTGTTTAGATTCTTTTCACTTTTTTTTTACATTTTTTTTTGCATCTTGTTTCTCTTTGGACTCATATTTTCTTGTTTTTATCAAAATATCACTCCAGTGAACTCAAAAAAATATCATTCTAATGATTTCATTTGTACTCTAGATTTTTGCAGGCATTTTGGTGTGAATTTCCGAACACCTCTGCTGACAATGGTCCTTTGCATGGTGTTTGTCTTATTGGACATAAAAATCTTATATTCGCTTCTGATACTGATTGGATTTCTTATAAAGTCACATTGCCATTCATTGTAATAATTTGTAATTGTTTCCTTCAAAAATTTTGTAGACATTAGGATTTAGATGTCAAATAGATCCAGTTAACCTACTGCGCTCTCCTTTAGATACTAAATATTAAAATATATGGAAAGTTACAATTTGACATTCCAGACGTCTGGTGTCTAATTATTCGTTCAAATTTAATTCAATCACATCTTCGGTCCAATTTATATTGCAGGTAAAACGCGTGTTTCGAAGTGCTTTGGGTTTGATTTTGCAACGAACCTCCCCATTACCATCACTGTAAGGCTTTAAAATCAATTTTTTTTTTTCAAAATTTCATTAGGTTTTTATTCACAAAATATCAGTAATAGTGGAAAATGAACAATAAAAATATTGCATGATAGTGTTTATTTATTTGCAGATAAAGTTGCATTAGTATTTAGAAAATTTTTTGCAAAATTCATTGGTTTTAGAATTACAAATTTCCCGCATTTGTTCTCGTTATCACATCCGTACTGCGAAATACTACCAGTTATATCAAAAAACAAAGGTATTTTTACTTTCATTTATTTTGAAGGAAATGGTTTATTTGAATTTGATCATGTAAGAGTTAGTAAGGATAAAGTGGCTATTAAAAGATAAATTTCGATAACAGCGAATTAAGTTTACAGAATTGTTAGATAAATTTCACTTAGTCTCACTTGATCCATAATATTTGATTCTAGCACATAAATGGATGACTCGGCAAAGTAAGCAAATGCTTCATAAGTATGGTCCATCTGCTTAAAATATTTAAAGCATGTAAGGAAATGCAAAATTTCATAAATTTTTAGATACAGAGAGTTCTTCACATTATATTTGGGATAGTACTGAAGTAGCACTGTTGGAAGCATTGAATGATTGTCAACTTTTATTAACTTATTCGACGACTGCTCGGGTTCATTCACTGTATTGGATACGAAGAGCAACGAAAGCGGAATGGAAATGTGCAGCAACTAAGGCGGAAAGTATTGTGTCATGTAACACAACACTTACACCTGCTGGTAATTTTCTTAATAGGTCAAAGGAAATTTTGTAAAAGATGTATTGATATTACTTGTTATAAATTATTATTAGTTATCATTATTAGTTAATCAGTTTTAAATACAATTAAAGTAAACTATTGGCACCCTGTTGTAGAAACTTAGTATGGTATTTTTCAGTTATTTATGTAATCCTCACTTAATGATTAATGATGATTAAAGAGAAAACACAAAATTTTAAGAATTTTAATTAAAATACTTTTGAATTTGTTTTAATTCAACGCTTCTAATGTAAAAGAGATTTATCATGATGTGTATTATATTTACACAGCACAACAAATAGAGATTAAAAAGTTATAATTTTTTATTTTCTCTTTTTTATTAATAGATAGTGTGTGCAAGTTAGGACCAAGAACGAAATAGTCTTTTTAGAATTAAAGTTAAGACTGAAATTTGAAATCATTTATTTGATCTGTCAGGTCGATCAAGTCAGCTATCAACACCGCAAATGGGTAGCCAATCACGACATCGTTTTGGCAAGAATGATTCATTTGCTGGTAAAATTTTTTTTTGCATACATTAATGAAGGATCTTTATTTTCCTTTTTAAGAAATCAGGGAAAAGTAAATTTTTTTCAGATGAGTCATGGGCAACACCACAAACACGATCAGTTCGTACACGATCCATGACTGCAGCAGCAGCACTAATACAATCTTTACCTTTCCCATCTACAAGTCCCGCTCAACGATCTTCTGCAAAGTATAGTTTACATTTTCGATGTTCCACTGGAATTAAATAGCATGAACAACCAAATTAGTTGTCAAGAATTAAATTGATGATAATACTGTAAACTTTTTTTAAAAGGATATATGAAATCATACACGGCTTTCATTTGTCTTGTCATTGAGATATCGTTGCAATTCTCGATGAAGTAGGAAAGAATTTTCTACTTCCTATAGTTTGAAAGAAAATTTGAAAAATAATGCAGTTTTATTTACAGTCGGTCAGTCACAGATTCTCCGATTTTACGCTTACGAGGAGGAAGTAAGAATGATTCAATTTTTTTTTAGAGAATTAGAAATTTAAAATTAATTTTTTCTATTTCAAGTTTGGGTCCGTAGTATTACGTGAGAAAACTTTTATTTGATGTTAACTTACTGCCTTTATTCATCTAAAATTTAATTACCTAAACATATGTTCAAAGATATAGAAGTAGAAAGTTCTGAATTTTGCCATCTATTTTTTTGATCATACATCTCTTGCATGGTCTTTTATTATTGATTTACTTACCCGTTGTTCTCCAATGATTACTTTTCCGGAATGACCTTCTATGAAATCAGTCACGATTAATATAGTTTCACATTCTTTTGATAGAAAAATATTGATTTGACATAAATTATTATAGGTACACATACTACGCCTCGCCTTAGTTCATTTTGTGATGATAGTATTATTTCATTGATTGAAACTCGTGGTTCAGAACTCGACCTTTTAGCACCCGAGGTAATATTCATTTGTTTTCCATCATAGCTCTTTTTAGATTTTTGATGTATTTTTTAAATTTTTCTTGTAATTCTTCTGCAGATTTGTATGGAATGTATATGGACGGAACGTCGTCAGGCAGATCCTGAAACAAGTGGTCCTGCAAGTACTGCATTTCTTACCCAAGGTTCAAATTTGTCTTCTTTAATAGATGTGTAAAAATCTATTTTATCTCATTTCTCATTTGTTATTGAAGAAAAATAGAAAGTTTGCCATTTACCACCATCACTGCATAGAAATGATTATACGAACATTTTTAGAGGAGTGTACTGGATTAATATAAAAGAGATAAGATAATGCTGAAAAAAAAAAAAACAAAAATCTTACGTCAGTCATCAGAATATTTTCATTTTTCATAGCAGTAATTTAAAAACTTGAATTTTGTTTCAGATTTCATCGGTCAAATGTATGTATGTTTTCACGTAGCAGAGCAAAATTTTTTAAAATGTATTCGAGGAAAGATGCACGATGAAGGACGAATGACTATAAGTTCCTTTACCACAATTCCCTGTAAAGGAGCTGCAGATATTAAGGTTTTATCTTTTTGATTTTTCCCAGGAAAACCAGGAAGTTAAAATTCAAGTTGTAGAAGATACAAGCATTTTTTTTTCTACAGGGACGCAAAATGATGGCAGTAATCGATCTTGATGATGCTGTGATCCTTTATAGTGGTATTACTCGTATCGGTGCCTTATATGGGAACTATGAACTTATAAACTTTAAGGAGTATTTTGCAAACAGTCAGATGGTGTGAATTTTTATGAACTCAGATGCTTTTGACTATTTTCAGATTAATAACCAAAATTGAAAATATATTTATAGTGAAATTCCTCGATGAAAATTTTTCAAATTTCACTTAAAAAGCTATCTTAATTACATCTCTAAAAGTATGTTCATTTCAATTTTTTTCACCAAGTAAAAAGGAACTGGATTCAAATAAATTCGGAAATTGAATGGACTTCAGTAATCAAACTGCAGTTTTCGAATTATTTATGTTACACTTCAATTTATTCTTGCTTTATTTTGTGAAAAGCTGAAATTGTTTGGATATCGAATTTTTAGGACATGCAAGAGAACACGGGCACTTGCAGTCTATCAATATGTGCTCCAGTTGTTGGATTGTATACTGCTTTTGTGGGCCATCTAATTTTAGTACGTTTATCTCAAATATATGTGTTTTTTTTTCATAGATATGTTTAATTTTAAAGTTTTTTATATGCAGTGAAATTCGTTACATCCAACCGGCAGCTGAATTTGTACATCCTTCAAGTTTTTTCAATTAAAAAGTTTTAGCAATAATTTTCGGACTTTGAGAAATCTGATGGTTCCAGGAGACACAGAAGCATCAATTGGTAATGTGCAAGCTGCCATCAATTGCATCCTCACCGTTTGGTAACCTTTTTTTTCTTCATCATTTTGTTAAATTTTTTTTTTTAAAATAAATAGATGTTAAATCGGAAAAAATTGATTGGAACTTTATTTATTTTTTATTTACAGTTGCGGAATGCCTCTCACAGGTTTGTTCAAATTTGCCTCTGGATAAAGCAATGAAGCTATCTTCATCCTGGTGTACCGATAACACTTCTCGTTTGTTAAATCATTATTATGATAATCGCGTTGCTGCAGAAGTTGCTATGTTGATACAGTTCCTTTTTACACAATGTGGACTTCATATTCAAGATTTTCCAATTTTTCGCGAAGTATCTTTTTTATTAGTTTAGAAAGATTATTTTAAATATCACATTATTTAGTTTTCGGTCTCACACTTACTTTCGATTTTTTTTAACTTTGGAGATATTTTACATCATTTTACAAAATCCTATATATTATTTCTCTTCCTATTTTATTTCACTTTTTTTTTCGAGTTTGAGCTTCTTGTTTATATTTTATAGAAATTTTAACATAGTTTTGAAACGAAAAAATTTTGGAGCGATTTTTAGATAAGCTTACTTCGAAATCGCTGTGAAGAAGAAATTCATAGAAAGAAGAAGCGTACCGGACATTCTAAGCATATTGGCGTAAGTACATTGATGGCTTAATTCCTTCTACTTAAAGCATGTGCTATCGATGATCTACATTTATGAACGATTGATTATCCTTATCATGATCAAAAAATATTGATTTTTCACCGATCTCGAAACATTTTTCACCACATTCTATAGATGGTGGTAATTAAATAAAAATAACTTCTATATTTTCTTATACAGCTAATTTTTTTCGTTTACTTTTCTTACATCATTTTTGACTCAAAAGTGCTTTTTACATTTAAAAGTACGCAAAGGAAAATCAATTTTGATACATAATTTTTATTAGTTTTCTTAGTTTGTTTGAAAATAGAATAGATTTAAATAAGTTTTTCTCAATCACATGTAAGATATTCCATATGTGGTCATTAGTTTTCAGATTCTGATTTACGTCATTATTCTCTTATTTTCTGTCATTTCTTTATTCGAGTTAAGATATTTCCGAATGTCGTTCAAGTTGGGGATGACGGTGTATCGTTGATCGTAGGAATAAAGAATGAAATAGATTTCACTATGTGGAGAATCAAATTTACTGACATTTTCTTATTGCTTTAAAATATGGAATCTTTACAACTGTATTTGTTTGAACAGTACATAGGTTTTTATTAGAGTAGCAGAAGCTTTTTTCAAGCTCTGTTTGAAATCGAAAAAATTTTAATATTTCAAAAAGTTTTATTTAAATATTATTTCTGTTTCCTAAAAATTATTTTAGGCCTGGCAAAAAATGAAGCATCTTTGTAGCAGCCGATGGTGGAGTTTTGATAATGTAGAAAATATTGTCCCAAAACATTACGCCGTTTCAATCAACGATGAAAGCAATTTTTATAGTTATTCTCTAGCGATATTTTCCGGATTACACGCCGTATATGAATCTGCCAAATTGGATAGGCGGACGATTTCGTTACTGTTTATTCTAGCATCGTCATTACATGCTTTTGCTCAGTAAGTATAATTATTAACTTGAGAAGAATTCGAAAAAGATTGGTAAAATGAAGAATGAGGCGGTTTATAAAGCAAGAGAAGAAATAATTAGCTTTATTTACCATAACTTTTAATCAACTTAGTCAATTTGGGATGTCTTATCCTGAGAGTGGCTTTGCTGTTTTCATTTTCCACAATTTGTTTAAATTATGCAATTGTTATTTTATTGCAGAATCTACGGTTTTATATTTAGATTGACCTTACAAAAAAAAAAACTTTAAATTTTATTTTCAGAAAATGTCATCTAGAAATTTTAAAACTTCAAAAATTTCTTTGCAGGATTTTTGACTTGAAAAGTTATAGTGATTACTATAGAAAGGACTTTTCCATATTGTCGAATCAAAATTTCAGAATTTTGGAAGGCAAGTTCACTTTAAATTTTTGTTAAAATGTTGCTCAAAAATTTTTACGTGAATCATCATTTATTATATTGGTGTATACTAAAAGCATTGAAATGAAAGTCGTTAAGAATTTGTTATTTGATCAAAAATTTAAATTTATAATATTCCGTACAAAAGTATGCAAGAGTTTCCATGTTTCCATAGGTGGACGGAAAATGCTTCAAGCGCTTTTAATGAGTTCTCGTTTTTCACCGGAACGTATACCATCATGGCATGATAATTTGTTACGATTTTTGGATAGCAAAAGTCATTTGACGTCAATCACTTCGTCACATTTCTTCGCACCAATTGTCATTACAATTGCTATCGGGTTGAAACGACTAGAAAACATTGCCGATGTTCAAGTAAGTGAAGATATCACTTTTTTAAAACGAATTGTCTTTTGGTTCAGTTTATTGCACCTATCACATGATTTTTGTTTTGTTTTATGGTACTTATATTCTATAATTTCTAAAATTCTATTGTCTTTCTAGTTACTTTATCTATTTTACTTTCTTTAGTTTTGTTAGATTTTTTATTCTAAGAAATAATATGATTTTATTTTCTGAATTTCAATCAAAATTTACGAACTTTCTATTTCGAAGTTCATTGTTCTGTAATATGGAAATGAAAGATAAGAAAATTTTATTTCCAGCTTCGTTTTCAGAAAGTTCTAGGAAAATCTTACGAGAAGAAACTACGCTTAACGAAGACGGACGCGGAAAAATTTGCTAGTATTCTGAGTGAAAATTCTGCAGCAGTTGAAAAGTTTGTTCTAAAAATATATTATTTGGTTTGAGTTTCAAATGATCAAAAATTCTTCAAAAATTATTTCTGTAGGATGGGGAATGTGATGACGTGTTGAACTCCAGAAATCATTTTATAAAATTGAATTTAATTTTCTGTTTCTTCATCGAATAGTAGAAATTATTAGGTATCATAAATTAATTACTGATGACAGTGATATGCTCTCATATATAATTCAGGATACTAAAAATTATGTTTTTGTATGAATGAAGTGCTGGGAGAGTTTTTCTATGCCCACAACGATAAACATATTACTTGGCAAAAAATCAGTAATTATTAGTATCGGCTGTCATTAATTATTGTTCTTAATTAAAATTGAAGTAACATTCGAAAAATGTTTATGTCCTTGAATTCAGTAGTAAATTTTGACAAATTTACAAGGAAGTTAAATAAAGAATAATTTTTAATTGTAGTAGATTTTTTGTTTTGTAGACGTAGATTTTTTATTTTATAGGTGCGAAAAATTGGCTCAGTTATTCAAATTCACGAAATCTTCGCTGTTAGATTTGCCACCAGCAGTTGCCATAATTTTATGCGAATTACTTTATGAGCAATCAACAAAAATGATGCATTTTCTTACACCTGCAGTATGTCAAAAAGATCGCAGGTTTGTGCTCAACACGGTTGTTATTTTCATTGCCGTGTTCAGTACACAATTGCTATCAATATACTATATTAACGGATCAGATGTTTTTTTATAATGAAAAGAGAAATTTCATTATGATTCAAGAGGTGAAAACAATTAAATTTGGATAATATTTTTTGAACTAAAAAATTTTGAACTTCAAATTTTGATCTGTGAATAAATTTTAATTAAGTTGATTTAGAGTTAGTTTCTGTGTACATACTAAATTTAAAATTTTAAGTAAAAGGAAAACATATACTTTCAGTCATATGCCATCTGCGGAAGAAAATTTTCTAATTACGCGATTGCGATGGCAACACGATTTGCGATGCATTAATGTAATACAAATGCTTGATAGCCGACGTCCAATTTTTATACCATCAAATAATGAAGTAAGTTTTATGTATGGTATTAAGTTGAAGGTATATTAAATGGGAAAACTTATTACCTAGATTTCTCTGTCTCTTTCTTTGTGCATCCTTCTCTAATATTTGAGCAATACTTACAACAGTGGTAATTTTAATAATTTTTTTCTACAAAAAGTCTGAGTTCAATGATATGGAATTCTCTTTCCATATGCATTTTTAAAAGTTACTTGAAATTAAATAAAACAGATGTGTGCAATTAGTTAAGTAACAGAATCAAGAGTCAATCATTATCGTTTCTTAGCTACATAGTTTGTAGATAACAGAAATAATTAAGTAACTATGGTAAATAAACTCAAAATCCATTTGTTCATAAACATATATTTGGGACTTATCCTAGATAATTTCAAACGAAACATTATCCGTTATAATTTAACACTTATTGCCTTATGCACTGAATCCAGTGAAATGTGAAATCTTGAATGATGAATGATCAGATTAGGAAATATTGCTAGACAATGCCAACTCTTTAACTGTGTTCGTCAGAGCAGAGATCCATCGGTATTTCTTTCAGGGCCTTTCAGAAGCAAGTCAACGAGAAATGGCCGAACGTCTTCTGAAATCCTTTAGCATGCGTAATATAACTCATGCTTTTGGGCGTTCAGCACTTGATTTTCGATCTTTTTCACCTCCCCTCAGTCGACCACGTGCAATACCACCACTTAATCTACAAGGACGATTACATCCTTCAAATACACCAATTGAACTGCAACAAAATGAGGTATGTCTATTTGTTGGTTTAAGTTTGCTTTTGATAATCAATGGATAAAAATAGAATGATTAAATGGAATAGTTAATAAACAAATACAAGTAACCTGACAATTAAGCAGTATATAATAGAACAATCCAAATTCTAGTTTTAATAAATTCAAATTGATTATTTTATTGTACTTTGAGGGTATCACTGAATGGGAAGTATGGCGTGTTGGGCAACAATTTAATACTATAGGAAGATTAGTTTAATACTATCGAGACCATTGATAGCTGGATTAATGGCTTGAATAACTTTGTAATAATTAAATATAACTACTAGAAAGATCATAAATATCAAAAAGGAATTTGTTATAGTTAGTCAAACCGATGATCAAGTGGGGTGCATTTTATAACGCTGTCGCAGCTGGACTATGTATCGGTGATTCGGATAGTTTGCATCTTGACAGTGAATGGCTTGCGATGAGCATCAATAATTTGGTATGAAAATTATTGATTTTTGCAGTCCTAAATCTAAAAATAGATTATTTTTTGAAGATTAGTTTCCAGAAAAATCGAATATCACGAATAGCAATTTTGTTTAATTTTTTAATTCATTGCAGCAAGGGTCAGAAGCTGCTGGTCTCATGTATGCGTTTGGATTGAATGGTCATATAACGAATATGAATTTGTTTATGATACATGAACTTTTGAGTAGTGGCGATCCAATAATGAGCATTGCAATTCTACTTGGATGTGGTGTAAGTCGACGAGCAACCGCTGATGTTCAGGTAGAGTAATTGAATATTTTATGGAATAAATTTATCCCTGAATTTATTTATTTATACTTGCTTGTGAAGTTCGTATAAAATTGTGAAAAAATTCAGATTTTAAGTCTTTACTCATTCTTTCGTAGAATGTCTTATGTAGAACATTTTTTGTTAATGTGGAATTCGCTGCAGTAAGGCGCATTAACTAACATCATATTTCGGAAGTATCGATATTTCAAACACCAAATTAAAAGTAATAGTAATTCAGAAGTTATATTCATATGAAGCAGCTATAGTTTCACTATTAGAAATGCAAAGATTTCAGTGCAACGTGATAAACTTCCTGAGTAATTTTTTTAAGTTGCAATTTTTGATTTTTGGAAGTCACTACAATCTCCTTTTGCAAGGTTAAAAGAATGAAATTTTTTTTCTTAATGCTTTCCATAGATTTTTCAAACCAATTTTCAGATGTATAAAATGATGGTAACACATTTACCATTTATGATGGGTCCAACATTACTTGAACTGCATATCGATACGATGATTCAGACGGCGGCACTTGTAGCACTTGGTCTCCTGTTTGCACAATCATCACATATGGGCATCTTAAGTCAGCTAGTCAATGAGATAGGTCGACCTGCTTGTCCGGATTATGAACCACCAACTGATCGATATTCATATTCTCTTGCTGCGGGTTTCGCTATTGGTCTTATTGCTTTGGGTCGGTCAAATTTTCTTCATTTTCTTCATGAATCAGAGAAAGTTGTCTTGTTTTTGATTCAGTAATAACGACTAAATGAAAAGCTACCAATAAACCAATAAAATTTAACAATGTCGAATTTTTCTACCTGTTATGTGTCATTATTTTATAAATTGCAGGACGCGGAGAAGATTTGTTGTCGAGTGTCCCGTTTGTAGAACAATATCCTGCAATAGCATCAAGACTTATTATACTAATGGAAGGTGGATTGCGATCACTATGCGTATTTCCTTCTACTGTTTCTGCGGAAGGCCCTTCTTCGGGGCACACCACTACTACCTCATCTTTTTCACAGTCAAATCATGTTCGAGGATCCGAAAATGTCAATCCGCACTTGACAGGTTTGTTCTATTTTAAATGTTCATTCACTTTGTAAACACTTGTGGGTTAACAAAGTTTATAGTCAATATTCTTACAGAATATAGAACTTTATTTTATTTCATTTAATTTTCCTATCCTTGTAAATGCATCGCACACAAATATTTGAATACTTTGCTTATGATGTCTCTTGACTTTTTTTTGAAAATGATCGATTTGATCATTTTCACATATTCTTCGAAAAAATATATAATTGAGATTTTGCTTAATCTTAGATGCTTAAAAAAGGTCAAGAGGTTAAAAAGAATCAAGAGATATCATAAGTTTAAGATGTTACCGACATCTTGGACAATATTCAGTTATTTGAATTTGGATTGCTTTTAAGATTTCTGCGGTTTCTTTTAAGATTTCCTTTAAGATTTTTTGTTGTAAGAGTTCCCATATCTAATTTTATCACATATTTTATCTCTTACAATCAACTGTTTTAAATGAAGTAGTCATATTGTAAATCCCAATATTAGTCCTTTTCTAAATAGTTCTCTTCGTTTCTAATCATTTTGGTAAAAAAAAAAATTCTTTTTGGTGAACTCACATATTTTCAGCTTACTTATGCAGTTTGATTTATTGCAGCAAGTCCAGCCGCTGTTGCTTTAGGTCTAATGTATCTTCGAACAGAAAATAAATGGGCAGCAGAAAGCTTGAAAATTCCCGAAACGATATCAGCGATTGAGGAAATTCGACCTGATCTTATTTTACTCAGGTGATGTATTTTGGCTAGCTTTTATAGAATTAAATCCAAATTCATTGCTTATTAAACTACTTTGTCTCAGGATTTTTTTTCGGTGGCCAAAAAAAAAACAGTTTAAGCTTGAAATTTCAATAAACACGATTATTGAAATTTCAAGCTTAAACTGCTTTTGTTTCAAGGAGACCTTTTTCTTTACCACTTGAGAGTCAAGATGCAAAAGAAGGGGGATTTTTTGAATATAAGTTTTGATAGAGATGGTTTTCAGAACACTTTGCCGACATCTTGTTTTATGGAATGAAATAACTGCTTCCAAGCATTGGGTGGAACAATCAGTACCATTAATTGTGCTAAATTATAAGGAGCGTTTGTTCAATGAACTATCAAAAACTGATGATGATGATGAGGAGGAAGACTTACGGATGCTGCAAATAGCAGTCGACAAGCAAACCATAGCTCAGGTTACTTATATCACTTGTATTTCTTTTACTATAAATAATAAATCTAATCATATTACTATAAATAATCAATAAAGAGAATCTCTCCCAAAAATCGATAGTAAAGGAACTAGTAGCAGAATATAGTTTACTACTATCCTACTGGAGGATGATGGAATCCTCTTCTCTATTTGGTATGCTGTTGCTAACGATTGATCACCATAGACGTGATATATAAGGAATATCGGGCTTGATCTATAATTATCATGGTGCTAATTCTGAAATCATTATTTTTTATCGGAGCGGCGATGAAGATGCTAGTGTTTGCAAGTTATCTGGTTCAAATGTATTTTGTAAGAATTGAGAAATATTACCTGATATAAAGAGACGGGTAACAGAAGTAGTACAATTGATCTCTGAAGAAATATATATTTATCTTATGATATATTTTTGAAAACTAGGTACTAATGTGAAACTTTCTGCATTATAGTAAGGAAGAAGGTAGCATAAAAATAGTGACAAAAAATTTTTTTCGAATCGAAAATTTCCATTTACATTGGTGGTGCTCCTTTTCTATTTGATAGTTATTTTTCGGTAGCAGTTATTTGAATATCATTCGAAACCGTAATAATATAAACAAATGAGTACAGATATTGATTCGAGAATCCAAAAATTCATTACTTTTTGGAATAATATGTTTTTTAGACCTACTTGAATGTAGTAGCGGGTGCCTGCTTTGCAATGGCTATTCGTTTCGCATCGACATGGAACTCTGAAGCTTTTAATATAATAGTAAGTTTATAATCCTTTCTTAAGAAAAAGAACACAACCGGCATTTTTAATCGAATATTTATTTTCTTGCATATTATATTATTTCTTACATGTTCTAAGCTTTTCATTATTTATACAGCTACAAACTGCTGTTTTTGCTTCCTCCAGGAATCGATGTTTCTTCTGTCCTTATTCTATAGGTTCAACAATAGCTTTTTAGCGTTTAACATCACTTCTAACTTCCTTAATCATTTTTTTTACATTTTACACATGCAATAACTCCTTTTTCACTTCTTGAATTATTATCTTTTTTTTTAAATTGTAGGGAACTTTTAGAACACTTAAAAAATTACTTTTTTATGAAATCATTTATTTATTTGTAGTGGTATTATATAAAAATGGTTTTACCACCAGATGCGCAACAGATTTGCAGCAAGCTGAGTCTTGCCGCTGGCGTCACAACTTGCCTTAATGTACTCGGCACTCTCATTAACTCATTGGGCATCGTATGTTCTTTTTTTCGCATATTTTTTTTTGAAGTTTTTACTGTGTTATTGAGGTAAGTGCCAAAAAGAGTTAAACATTTCAGCAATTATGATTTTCGAATAATTGTAATTTTTATCTTACTCTAGATATTCTTATTTTATAGTGGTTTAGGGCTTGCAGGATATGATATCAGATTTTTTAGATTTTTTGTAAAATTCGTCAAAAAATTATTAAAGCATAAATTACAACTATTATCGAAAAAAGAGCTAATCTTATTGTAAATTTTACGTTTTTTGAATAATGTATAATTAACATAATGCTTCAATTATTGGGACACTTTTTTTATTTCCAGCTTATGGCCGGTAGTGGAAATTTGCAAGTGCTACGTCTTTGTCGGTTTCTTCGTACACGTATAACCTTACCGGAAGCGTATCGTGACAATACGTCGCACAGCTTATATACTGCTGCAAACACAGTGATGGGGATGTTGATGCTTGGTCGTGGGAGGTTCAAATTATTATTATTTTTTGTCGAATCATGTATCATTCAGGTGTTGCGCGAGTCGGTATTACTTGGCTGATTTCGGGAGCTGCAGATCATATTCTGCCCGCTTCAGAAGTTGATCAGGCACTCACGAAAGTGGAAAATGAAACTATACTATCATTCACCGCGAATAATGATGCTTTTTTTAAATTAAAAATATCTTTTTTCCAGGTATGCTTTAAAAACGGACGACTTATCAGTTGCTGCACTCGTTATTTCATTCTTTCCAATCAGTCCTCATACGCTGAATGATAATAGGTAGGTTTTCTACTTTTAATTTTACTGAAGAGAAAGAAAAGAAGAAAGAGAACATAGGGTAATCAACGGTGTTTGACCTCCTCGGAACTGGTTGCAGGTTTTGTAGCATTTCTTTCTTCATCTTATATTGAATAGTATATAACGCTTATTTTTCATTAATGAGCTAATTTCACTTCTTTTATTTACTTTTTGTTAATCGGACTATGAAGAACGGATAAATAAAATTTTTTGAAGAAATAACGAAAAAGTGAACATTGATTATCATTTTAAGTACTTTTCTAGAACCTATTTGCAACCGCTTCGACTACTTTGGGTAATTGCAGCCGAGGAACGTTTATTATGTTCAGTTGATGCAGATACTGAAGAATTGGTAGCGCTGGAGGTTGAAATTACATTCAAGGTAGAGAGTTTATTTTTCTTTAAAATGAGGTTCCGATTATTAAATCCCTCGTCAAACTTGAGCATTCAGTTTTTCTTCTCAACTTTTAATCCTGAAATAAAAGGGACCTTTTCAGGTTGACGCTTTCATATAACTTATGAAATGCTTTTGATGTTTGGAAGTTTTTCAAAATTTCAGGGATCTAAGGTTATGTATCCAGATGTTCTCAATGTTCGTACACCTTGTATTATACCTGAATTGAGTTTGCTAAATAAAGTAAGTATCTTATACAAAGACCAAAAAATTCCCATGCTGAAGATAGGGCATCAAAAATGGCGTTACAATTATTAAAAAAAATTCTAGGAGAGTGTATATTTAAGAATATTTTTATTTACAAATTCATGAATTGTTTGGATTGGCCTTTAACAGAGCGTTTTTTTGAATTGCTTTTATTTTGAAATTCGTTTTCGAGAAAAATTGTTTTTACAGAAATTTGTAGATGAGGCCGGAAATTTCTTAAGGCCATTGCAGATATTGGAGTGGTATATCTTTTAGAGTTTCCATGAATTAGACTTGAAATTGTGGAAAATTCTCCAAGAGTCAACTCTTTCGTACTTTCTCTTGATTAAATTTCAGATCCAGATTGGTGGACAAGAATATGAAAAGCAAATTTTTGATTTGAGACATGAGTCAGACAAGCAGAGATTGGTGGAGATTCTGAAGAGACAACATGGACGGATGGTAGTAAACTATTTAGGACAGTAAGTAGAAATTTTGCTAATCCTGCTAAAATAAAGATTGATGAACAGTTTTCCAGGGCGTCCTTATGTTTTTCTTGAAGCACTAAATTGGATATGAATTCATTTTTTTATGTACTGATGGAGGGAAAGGGAAAGACAAATCTTACTTTATTTCATAAGTTATTTCTAAGCGTCTTCCGTCCTCTTTATCTAACTCTGGGTTATTTTTTGAATCAGTTCTGATATTAGATATTACATACATTAAATCTGGAATTGAAAGTAAGTTATTTGTAGGAAGGGCATCTAATTAGAATTTCCAGTTATAGACAAGGTCACTCTTAATTTGTTGGGTTAATTTTATGATTTTATGATTTTTTGATATCTTATACTGACCCCAGTTGAAAATATAAGACTTGAAGTTGAGTTTATAGTAATTGATATTACAGTAACGTCAATTAAATCTGTAAACTGATACAATCGATAAAAAAGAGCGTGAAAAAAAAACACATTTTTCTAATAGTTTATATAAATTGATTGATGCAAACCAAATTAATAAATGGGCGATTATCCGGTTCGATTCTCTTATAACTTTTTTTTTTCAGAAAGGAGCAAAAAATTGTTGTTGCAACAATAAAACATATGTGTAGTACAGCGGATGATCCGATGTTGATGCCAATAAATGAGCAAAATTTGCTCAATGCAACGAAAGACGATCAAAATTTCCAACAAAAATTCAACTTCAATTTACCAGAAACAGTTACTGACATCGAAAATGCAGAAAAAACAAATATTTTTGCATTTGGATCTTGGATACGAAGTTTTCAGCTTGATAATGGTAGCATTGCAGCATATGATTATGCTTTCTCTTTTGTTAAGGTATGTCTACTGATGTTGAGTGTTTCGATAATAACTCTTTTCATGTTAGGGAATTTCTAAAAAAATTTTTCATTTTCATTTTTAAATGCATATTTCATCTGATAGAACTTGAGATGAGCAATGGAAAAATTAAAATTGAGAAATTTTGTTAAAGATAGTGAAAGAGAAGGCTCTGCTTCGGTTGATATTAATGGCTGATTATAATTACTTTATAATAGAGAGCTAGTGGTTATGGCCACGATACTCTTTACAATTAGTGATAGTCCTGTGATGATCACTCTATGAAATTAGAATTAAGGAAAAGTTTTAAAAAAAAGAATTGAGATTAAATTGGATTATGCTGAGTCCGGAATATAGATGAATTAAATTTATTTATTGGTTACATTTTTGTAATTTCCAATAAAGAAATTGAATTGCCTAAATGTCAGTACTTGCTCAAATGCAATCAAACGATAACTGCCATCGAAACGTATATCGAACTGATAGGTCTTCTTGCATTTTAACTTGATCTACAACATATTTGGTTTAGATTTAATGTGTCAGCTTGGAGTCAAAATCGTACTCCTTAGGGTTCAGAAACTTTATATTGCAGAGGTCCATTTCAGGATATGCTTCGAAAAAATCCTCTTCGTTTTGCACGTACTCAATATGACTTGTTGGATGCGTTTCTCGAGAGAAGCCTATTTGATCAAAACGATGAATGGCCCATTCGTTCGAATGTTATCCCCAATGAGCTCATCACGTCATTAATGTGACCTAAAATTACATTTCGAAAATTCAAGTGATCTATTATTTTATTTTATGGGTTGTTTGATCCAACAAACTACTTGTTCATTGTTGTTTTCGAGATCTCTCATTTTCCTAGTACTTTTCCACTTTGTTTCCATTTTGTATTGTATTTATGCATCTACTTCTTTAAATGAATATTTAGCAAAGATTGTTTATTTTATCACATTGAAAATATTTAACTCTGAAAAAATCCAACTTCTACATAGCTTCCTTTCGACTTCTCTTCATTGCACACGCTAAATCGAAAATCTCAAAATACCATCACCACTTCTATGCTTTGATACTACCAGTCTCTTACTGTTATTAGCAAGTATAAAGTCAATTATTACCAATACAGTCGCCTTCAGGAAAAGGATACGATGGAATTGGACCCTGCAGGATCTGAAGTAAAGCTAGAACCCATCGAAATTAACACTTGCTCTCCGTTATTTCTGACTACATCACTTGGTACTCTTCGCTTTCTTTCTCATTTCATTACCCTCGTCCAAGATTTCCATTTCTCTATCTCTTTTTGCTCTTTAATGCATTAGCGGAAATCAGTTTTAAACGGTTTGCATAAGCTACGAGATATCTGTTTAAGAAGGGAAATACCGAGAGAAGGTCGAATTTCTTGGAATCTTTTCTAGATTTAATACCCGAATAATGGAAATAAACGATAACGGAACAGAACTTTCCAACTGTAGACGACAATACGTCGAAGAGTCAGCTTTTAGCGTAAATAATTCTACAGAAGAAAATGCTCCCACTCCTGTCGGTTCAGTAACTTGCAACACAGTTTTAATATCTCTGCTGCTTATCAGATGATCGCAGTTCTTATTTGATTTCTTACTACCGAATAGGAATTGAAATGAAACCATAAAATCCATTCAAAATATAATTTTATTTTATGTACCACAATCCCAAAAGTTCCCATTAGTTACAGTAATTAAATATGAAATGGTTTCGAATATCGGGTTTCTAGTTCTAAATTCCATTGCTAACATACAATCACAAATTAGAACATTCTGACAAGGAACAGTTCTAACACAAAATGCATATTCCACAACAGAATTCAAGAAATCTTTCAAATCAAAATTTATTACTGAAACGCTATGTTCAGTAAGAAAAAGCAAATTAGTGCAGTTGTGGTGGCCTTCACTCCATTTGTAGATCAACAAATAAGTCAAAACGTAAGCATAACCAAGCTGAACGCTTCCAGTTTCTTTTATACCAAAAATCAATACCGATTCTGGTTGTTCTGAAGAAAAACCTTTTTTAAATCCAATAAACTGAAGATTTTCAAAAAAGCAATATCAGGCCATGTCTGTACTTTATAACTTTCAAGCGAACTTCAGATTAACGATCCGACTTGATATTCACATTATTTTCCCCTCACTTTCATCACGAACTACAATCAACAATTTAATTCATTTGGGAAAATTTATTTCTCTCATCAGTTTTATAACCGGTAAATAAAATAAAGATGCAAAACGCTAATTTTTCTAAACTTTAACAAAATATTACTACTACCACAACTGCGAGGATTTGCAGTGTTAAAATTATGACATACAAACACGACCTGACACTTCGCTGTAAAATAACAAAAAAGTTTAGGAGAAAAGAAAATCAAAACAAATTTCTAAACGACAATTTCGCAGAAAGCAACACCTAGAGAAGCAGTAGTAATGAATCATTATGAAATTTTGCTTCATTCATGAAGACTATTATTGCCTTCACTGTACTGCAGAAGCGCATAAAATCTCGACCTATAATGATTAGTTTTGCTCGAGACTCTGACGAAAATACTTTTTTTCTACTAAATATGATAAATA